AATAAAATGTAATAAAATGTAATAAAATGTAATAAAATGTAATAAAATGTAATAAAATGTAATAAAATGTAATAAAATGTAATAAAAAAAATGTATTATGATATTATTGTTTTTAAATTGCCCATCTACCAATATTTCGACTTTTGCCTTTTAATAATAATCCATATCTGTCACCAGCTAACCCAGGTATTGATCTCTTTTGGGAATTTTCATATTCTTCACAAAGTGCTTTGGACTCTGCTGGTAAAGTCAGATTCTGAAATTCTTGACGTAATTCGACTAATTGCGCTGACATTCCCATACCAAGATGCCACTATATATATAATAATAATAAAGATTTTTTTTTCTTTTTTTTTAAAAAAAAAGTAATTATTTGAAGTGTGGTAGCGTGCGTGAAGAAATAATTTTACCTCGATATGACAATGAAAAGACCAAATTCCTGGATTATTAATTTTATAACGAATTACTGAATATCTAATAATAAATGATAAATATAATAAATATAATAATAAAAAAAGATAAATAATAATAAATAATAAATAATAAATAATAAATAATAAATAATAAATACCCCCGAGGCCCAACTATTATTGTATCACGTACGGGAGGATTCACTAAATTGAATGCTGTTTCGTTCACCACTCCGTCTATTCCGAGGCCAGATCCTATTAACCAGAAAGTATGTCCATGCTATATAATAGTAATAAATAATATTGTTTTAAATATTATAAGAAAATTAATTAATGAAAAAATGAAAATAATAAAAAATAAATTAATGAAAAATAAAATCTATACAAACCAAATGGAATGGATGTTCTACTAGATTTGAATCTACATATTTGCGAAAATATTATTAGTTATATCATTTCTAATTTTCTTTGGATTTCTTTGGAATTTTCTATTAAAAGAAAAATTATGGTGTATAAATTGTGAAGAGGAAACGAAGAAGGAAATACTTACTTATAACTGTAATTTGTACGCAACCATCTTTAGTATCATAAGTATAAGAATTTAGATTTGTAGCAAATGTTGCAGGATCTGTTCCCGATAAAATTTGATTGAGTGAAGGAGATGTTAAATCCGGAGTAAAAGATGAATTGTTTATATATGCTTTGGTAACATTATCGGTAGAATCAGGAAAAACAGTAACATTGAAAACAAGTCTATCTGTAACATTAGGTGGTATTGAAGATTCTAAAGGTATTAAATAACTATCATTTAAATCACGACAATTAACTAATTTTGTAGCGAAATCATCATTCCATTCTTGAGATGTTGGTAAACTAGTTTCAGATGCACCATCATAACGAAGAATTCCTGTAACATTATAATTTATAGATGAATTATAATTGATAGTTTCAGCATCAGAGGTACTAGAATTAGGAGGAAATTCACATTGAACCATAGTAGCTCGAATATAATAATTAGCAACTTCTTGATCGGCATTTATTATAACTGAATATCGTTGACCAACGTGAATTGGTAATTTACTAATTTTTTGAGATTGAATATTGATGCCGTCAGCTTCAATTAAAGTCATTTGATGATTATCAATTGAAAAGAAGAAATATGTTTGTGCACTATTTATTTGTCAAAGAAAGGAAAAACAAAATTAAAAAAAAAAAAAAAAAAAAAAAAAAAAAAAAACGCGGTTAATTTAATTATTTACTCTATGAATTAATGAATTAATTAATTATATTCTATAAATTTTAATTCAAAAATGTATGATGTTCTCTTACCTTGTGTTTATTAAACGAAGTCGATATTTTTTATCCTTTACTACTTTATATATTGGTTGTGAACTGGTAGAATTACATTTCGCATCTGATGATGCTGCAGAACAATTATATTGACCTCTACCACTGATAAGACCCGCATCAGGAATTGGCTATTAAAAATAAATTAATAATTAATTAAACAAAAAATCTTTCATTTATTAATTAATTATTTATATTATTTATGATACCAACATTACGACCCCTGTAACCTGGAGCTAATCTCTTTGCAAGTAATTCACTGGAAACACTATGATACCAATCTGAAAGTGTAACGACGTATTCATAATCATAATCTTTTAAATAAGGATCACTTGGGTCATGAATAATAAGAGCTCCTCGAAGACCATCGATATATTGACTCAAATAATGTGAATGCCTAAATATAATTAAATATAATATAATTAAAATATAATATAATTAAAAAATATAATTTAATTCAAATATAATATAATTCAAATATAATATAATTCAAATATAATATAATTCAAATATCAGCCTTACCACCAATAAGTTCCAGTTTGATCACCCGTCGAAAAATTATAAACAAATGAAATTCCATCAGGAATTGGACATTGGGTTTGCCCAGCTACTCCGTCATACCAATTGGTTGAGATTTGAAACATTCCATGCCAATGGATTGTTGTTGGATCAACCAAATGATTTGAAACATTAATTATTACCCTATCTCCTTTATTGGCCTGAATGATTGGTCCGGGATATTTTCCATTCGATGTCCAAACTACACGTGTATACCCGTCGGGTGCTAAATCTGTACGTGTTAAATTTAAAGAGAATTGACGTGTAGTTATCGAACTATCTGGAATTTTAAGTGTATTAAACATCTCAGTATTTTCAGCCGCAGTAAAGGTGATATAAATTAAAATATTAAAAAATATTATGTTAGAAAGGATTTTTTGAAATTTTTGAGTCGTTTTCATTTTTATTTTGTTGTTTTGAAAATATTTATTGATTGATTGTTTATTTGCCAAAGATTTAATTCGTCCTTTTTATATTTTTTTTTATTTCTTTCACTCATTTATTGAAGAATTTCTTATTGTTTATTATAATTATATAATATTTTATTCATTTTTATTCATAGAATTTTACCAAATTAATCAATTTACAACATTACTTGATTCTTATCCTTCCAGTTCATTCAATCATCAACTATTATTGTTCCCTTATATTCATCCCTAAGCCACCTATATATCTCCATGCATGCTAATACATGAAATTATTCACTAGTTTGCTTTTTATAACTAATAAAAATAGCATTAAATTCTATAACATTCTTATTTTAATCATCATTATTATTATTTTAAATCATTATTAATTATTATTATTACGGAATTTTAATCTAAAAAAAATGTCAAAATGGATTATAAAAATAAATACTTTTACATTATTAAAATTTAATTAAAAATATTAATTTTTAAAAAAGCTTTTTTTACACTTACGTGTCTTTTTTTTTTTCAAACAAATATATTTCATTCATTTGTTTTGTCGAAAATATAATAAATGATATAAATGCAAAATTATCCATAAATGACTAAATACTGTAATTTACCACCTACTGAAAATGCATAACTTCAGGAAATAACACCTACGGCGAAATGATACATCTACAGGAAAATAATAAATCAATACATCTACAGGAAATAATACATCAATACATCTACAGGAAATAATATAGGAGGAGATAGGGAGGCTTGAATAATAATTTCAATACATTGGAATGAGATGGGAATTATTTTTTATAAATTTTCTTGAAAATCGTAAATTGAGATCATATCAAATCAAGATTTTTTTTTTTTTTTAAAGATAAATCGATGATTTCGATTTACTATTTATTTTATCTCGATTTCCTTATTCTTTTTCAAGATTCATAGATAATTCATCTAAGATTCTATCAAGATCATAAATTAGTTTCCTTTTTTTAATAAAATCAAGTTATTATAAAAAGGGGGGCAACTTCCGTTCAAATTTTGTATATAAATATCAAGTTGCATGGTTGGCATTCGGCTTAGCCATATTTATATAGGTCGACCTCAACTTGAATATGTATTTTTTGCGATTTTATTACACATCACATTTATGGAAATTGATTATGATTTTATAACGGAAATAAAAAGAAAGCACTTGATTGACTCTATAACAAATAAAGTATTATAGATAGGCAAATAGATAGAATAGATAGATAGTAAACATAATATTTTGAAAATAATACGTATAAAAAAAAAATTTATGTATAATTTTAATTATTCTAAACAAGATTTCTAGCTAAAATATTCATATACATCAATCTTAATCATTTCATTTCTAAATTTCTTACAACATAATGCCAAAGATAATCATTATCCACGGTTAATTTACTTCCTATTTTCAGTACCTTCTCTCATTTCTTTTTCATCGATTCCTCTCAAAATTTCATCCACTCTGTGAAATTCATCCCTTCTTATTTTTATCACCATCCCATCCCAATCTATATCATCTTAAAATGGTTCAATAATTCCATCAGCTATAATAATTGGAACCACCCCCCAATTGCTAATATTTCAAGCTAATATACTTTGAATTTAATAATAAATTTGCGTATTCAAATCATTTCTGATGAGAGTTGACTTATTGTAAATTATTAAATATTAAATTTTATTTGGTTTCACTGATGAACAAATAATACAAAAATATTTCGATTATAAGAATTTCCATCTTTACCTGTAAATAATATTAGAACATAATTAAATGAATTTAAAATTAAGCCCAGTATTGTACATTTTGCATGTCCCTGGGTTTTTTTAATTGTCTCCGTGTGATATCCCTACCCTTAACTATCTCGTGAAGATATATTAAAACCTTATAAGTATATGCAAAAATTAATTCTGAACAACTTTGATTAATGACTCAAAAATAGGTTTTTATAATAAAATTTTTGCGTTATTTATGTTTAAAAAAATTTTTTTTGTGTCCTTACATTGTCCCTTGACAACGCTGGCACTAGGTATCACGATATTTCAATATCTTTTAAATTTGTATATTATAAATATTCATTTTTTCACCAATCGTTGTTAAATAAATTGATTACAATAGGTATTCATCGGGGTGTATTGTTTTACGAATCAATATCACTTCTGAATTTTCTGTGACACAAGGTAATATAAGTTGGAATTTTCATTGGTGAGAGAAATTTAAAGTAAAATTTCGAATAATAATTTGAGTATTTGAAAACTTCTCTAAATTTTGGTATTATTTGAGGAATTTTATAAATGTAAATTTTTTGGTATATATATATTGCGTAATCAATAGTTTAACATTAATATGTTAATGACGTAAACATAATGTTTAAATTGTGATTATTTTACAGGTGATAGGAATAATGATCTAAGCGCGAAAATAGCAAATCAGATTTTAGAGATTTCAGAATTGTAAAAATGCGAAAATTTAATTTAATAAAACGTTAACTCGATTCATTACGTCTTCATTAATTCTCCTATGTGATTTATTGTTTTTTACAGCATATTCTAATGCCTTTGCTGTTAATTGATGCCTGTATGCATCCATCCAACACCAAGATAATTGTGCATTGGAACAGATTGTTTCAATAGATATAGATCAAATGCTAAAGGAAGATTTTTTTTAATGATTGTAGATTATATTCACAATGATTTCGAGTGTACCTTTTAGCCGCACCCCAATATAACACTAGTCGAAAAACTCTATCGGGTACCCGATAAGTTCCCGATACCTGATAGGATTGTAATATAAAATTATAAATAATTCGTAATCGCAGCTACATATAAAGTTTTTTAATTCACAATTAAATAATTCAAACAATACTAAGTAACCTTGTAGATAATTAAAATTTGTATCGTCTGTAGAAATATTACTTCAATTTAATTAAAATTAAGAGAATTACCTGTGTTTTAATTCGTACGGCCGTTCAAACTTTGGTCGCTAATAATTCTCTCAATTTAAGTGAAATAGGTCTAATATTTTTACAAACAATGCAGACTTCTATTGTCTAAAAGTCTACTTAATAATGCTTTTACGATTTAAAAAATAAGTTAAAACTTTTATATGTTTCTACTATAACATAATTATTTTCGATTTTATAATCTATCGGAATTCATAATATAAAATCGAAAATAATTTGTGATCGTAGTCACATATAAAAGTTTTTAATTATATAACCTAATCGTCAAACTGACAGAGTCTTGACTGTCAATTCCTACTTTGTGGGCGTCGATGGGTCAACTCGTCGTCTAGATTAAATTAGTAATAGTTTAATTTAGAGTAGGTAGTTAGAACACAACATGTACATAAATTTAACAATCGTTTTATTTAATAAAGTGTCTAACAAGTAGGGTTGTTAATGGAGCAGAGTGGATTGGGTTGGGTTCATATTATAGTGGAGTAAGAGGTAACCCAACCTAACCTGAATTAAATACTCTGGGTTTATACTCCAGGTTACTCCGGGTTACTCCAGATTACTCTATAGTAAAGATAACTGCTGAAATCAATGTATTACAGCAGAGTTGCAACTATTCTCTTAATTGCGCCAATGCCGTAATGCCATAATTTTGGCTGTAATGTTGTAATTATGTCATAATATAATTTATATAAAATCGGAAATAATTGTCGATGGTTGCTACATATAAAATTTTTATTCTACAAGTAAATATTAAAAACGGTATTAATTAATTTTATAGACCAGAATGTATTCTATCATCTATAAAAAATACAAATCTATTTCATCAAAATTGAGGAAATTATTCACGTTTAAAGTTTGAACGAACGAAAAAACTTAAAACGACTATCATTTGCTCAATTTTGAAGAAGTAGGCTTGCATTTTTCAAAGATAATAGAATACATTCTCGTCTATAAAATTTATTAGTACCGCTTTTAATGTTTACTTATAGAATAAAAAGTTTTATATGTAGCAACTATCGACAATTATTTCCGATGTAAACTATTTTCATTTTCTTGAGACATGGTTATGATTAAAGTTTCATTTTCATTTCTATTAGAATTTAAACTAAGATTACTTTCCTCTCTATCTAAGTCTGTAGATGCAGATGCAACAACAAATTCTTCAGGTTCACTATCTGAAAGTGTATTATAAAAATCTTATTTATAATAAAAAAAATTTGTAAATTGATTACCAGTTATTAAAATTTCAACCAATAAAATTATTGTTCTATGTGGAGCAACCCGGAGTAAATTATTTGGAGTAACCCAGAGCTATAATTAAATTATAACCCGGGTTACTATATAATTGAAATTCCTAACCCACTCCATAATGGAGTGGGTTATAACCTGGAGTTGCTCTGGAGTATAATACTTCATTAACAACCCTACCTGCCAGGTAACTACCTACCTAATTACTATCTTTGCTTTTAAAGATAACAAGGTAGTAACCAGTAACTGAAACAGTAACCATTAACTGAAGTAATAACCAATAGCTTATTATTTTTAATATAAAAATTATAGTAATTATTTAATAATTATAATTATTATTTCTATAATGATTACTATTGCTATAATAATTTCTATAATAATTAACTATAATAATTATTAAATAATTATTGATTATCAGTAATTATTCATAAAGACTAATTGGTTTGATTTGATTATAAAAAAATGTGATTATTTATAGGATCATGTAAATTTTTATAATTGTTAATTGGATACATGTAATTTTATGTAATTATTGAATAAAATAATCATGTGTCTATTTAGTTATTTATTTTTAATTGGATGGTGAATTTAACTCTAGATGTTATTTATACTTGCTTTATTACCTTGTTTTATTTTCTCATGGATTTCTCATGAGTCTAAAATTGG